CCTCCCCTGCGCCCGCCAGCAGCCCGGCTATGGCCGCCAGCGCCCTGCGCCCAGGCAGTGCACCACCGTATTAGCGCTGCCTGTCTCCCTCATGCCCAATGCAGCTTTACACTGCGCAGCACCTCGTGTTCGCGCAGCGTGCCGGCAATGCCTGCATTGGCCAAGGATCCCCGCCCACTCGCCCTGCTTGCCTATATGCCAGTGTTGCGTGTGGGCGGCCTCCCTTCAGCCTGCGAATGGGCCCCAGTGCCTGAACCCAGGCCCGATGCAGTTGGGGCCCGGGTGATGCAGTTGCGCCTCTTTTGTCAAGGCCTGCGGCCAGATTCAGATAGTGGGCCGATTTCCCTTTGGCATTTTCGGCCTCTATACCCAGCATGCATTGTCGGCCTCACGTTCAAGTGCCCAGGGCCTAACTAACAGTGAGGCCCTGGGATCTCCACATTTGCAGAGATTCGAGACTCGGTGCACTCCAACCAACTGGCGTGCTGCAACTGTATGGACCCCACTTCGTGAAATGTTTGCACAGAGGGCTCTTGTTGATTTGCTGGCCCGCCTTCACTTAGGGCGGGCACGAGGCTTGCTGGGGCCTAAGCCCAGAACATGTACTTCATGGCAAGGCCCCTTCTTGAGGGCTCAATCCTCACACATGCACATGTGCCCGTCTACATTAACGACCATAGTACACCTCCCCAACTGGTCGCATGCAGAAAAAAAAACTATCCTGTTGTCGTGGTACTCTAACATCGTTGAGTGACAAGGGCTTTTTCAGGTTAGGCGATATGGGCAGGCGAGATTGGGAGCAACAGGTTAAAGAGACTGAGCCCACGGGGATTGAGGGGAAACTGATGGGGCGATGGTACAAGGGGATAAATCAACGACTGACAAGCACGTGAGGAATGGTAGGACTAAGACAGAATGGAATGATAAAGAACAGGGGAAGGTAAACTAGAGTTCAGACACTCCTCGCAGACAAACAATCCAATGTTTCGATACGCATGTCAATTTCTGTACTGGGACGCTGGACCCGATTTCCAGCAGGTGCAGCTCCCCACCAATAGATGGAGTCTTCAAAAGGTGGGATATGCTTAAAGGGGATCCTTGTATCACCCTTCTAAGCATACAACCCCCGCACGAAGTTCAAAAAAATAAAAATAAAATAAAAAATAAAAAATGCACGGCCGATAAAAGGTACTAATCGGAAACGTCTGAATGGTTGGGCCCATCACGCGGCCTACTGTCGGGACCACGGAGACTGTGAATGGCATCAGCTATGGCCATGTAAACCTTCTCAACCCTGGCCCCCATTATATTTGCAACACGTTCATGGGAGGCAATGCCCTGCTGCATAGTTTCTCTTTGGACTTCAAGCTGCCGTCGTGCGATGTCATGGGTCGCATCACAGCACATCTTCACGCACTCACGATCTGAACGTGGCAAGGCCATAGTGTGGTTTTCCAGCACAGGGGTCATTGAAAATCATTCTTTTTGCCACTAGAAAAAAAAAAAAAAAAAAAAAAAAAAAAAATCATAATGTAAGGGACGCTGGACCCGGTTTCCAGCAGGTGCAGCTCTCCACCAATAGATGGAGCACTTGAAAAAAAAAAAAAAGGCCATAGTGTGGTCCCTCATTGCACAGGTGATAGCCCGCAAGCTGGAATCGCGGGCATTGGTGGCAGCTCTCTTGCGTTTGGCAATGCCTAGAGTGGCGTCAAAAGGAGTCGAGTGCATTCCATCAGACCGCGAAGCTCTCCCGTCAATCCCGCCAGGGTCTTCATCACCGTCGTCGCTGGCGTCATGCCCGTCACCTGTCCCATCGACATCCTCTCTCTGGTCCTGCTCGGCACCCAGGTCCCGCAGTTGAGACAGATTTATAGAGCCGGTGTCCTGTTCTGCAGAATTGATGGTATCATACCAACTTCGACGCAGCACGAAATCCATATTGTACGCCTTGCGCATACTGGCATTCATGTCCCAGTAGCTGGGTAGCCCCAACCACCTCTCATGACCTTCAACCTCCTGTAGAAGTCATGAACCTGATTGAACTTGTTCTTGCATTGATCGTGAGTTCGATTCAGTCCTTTCTCATTCATGCGCTGCGCAACCATCTTCCAAAGCCCGGCCTTTATACGAGACCTCCCAAACGCCTCCGTCTCATCACCCATCAGCTGTTTAACCTCATTGCGAATCCTAGAAAGGATCTCTGTCTCCCCCTCACCCCACCGATCCAGTTTCTTCTCCGCCGGCGATGGGCTTCCTCTAGAAGATTGACCTCTCGCTTGTGCTTGTGCCCCAACTCTGTTTGTGACAGGCAAGGGAATGTGCTGGGTACTAGACTTATCTGCAACGGGACTCGGACTGTCAGAAGCATGCCCGAGATTGTCACCATGCCCCTGCAGGCGGGGTGGGCGGAGGTCGCTGTTGCCTGTCACCGGCATCCACAATGAAATTGGCGCCTGGAAATGTACCGCCTTCGACGTCTCGAATTAACCGATTGATGATGTACTCATCAGCAGGTTCCTGCTCCACTCCCTGAACACCCCCACTGCTGCTGCCAGAATTGGAACATGGTGGTTGGCCCTCTGGACGGTTCATAACGCCCGTATGAGGCGGAGGAGTGGTACATCCAATTTCGTGAGAGAGTGACACAGTCTGGCCGCCTGACGCAGGTGTCACAGGTGACAAGCATGGAGGCGCATCGTGATTGCCGATGTCATGTGAAGCGGGAGTAGGAGACAGCGCGAACCCGCCGAGCAGGATCTGTCGATGCTGAACATCAGACAGTCCAGCCATTATAGCCATTGCCTGCCGCCGCAGCTGCTCTCTGAAGCCATTCTCATCTCCTGTCCCCACATTGAACATGAACCCGACACAGGTAAGGACAAAGGGGCAGGTGTGACATGCGAATGATGATGCATGGATGTCACATTCACAGGGGGAGACAGCCCCACACCTTCATGCGGGACAGGAGAGGGGCCAAGCCCCCCCCCGGTTCCAGACACTGTGGGACCACATCCCCCTCCGTAAAATGTGTGCGAGCGAGGGACCTGGGTCCCCAGGGTGTCGTCTGAATGGTACCGTGTTTCGGCACCAGACGAACACAGCGGGCCCTCATCGTTCCCTGCGGTGATTCGGGACGACGGGGCCTGCTGGGCCCATGGTGGGACAGCGGCCGTCCCAACACCGGGAACCGCAGGGATTTGGGACTCACCGCACCCCCAGTCCTGGATGAACGACAAACCTTGAAGTTCTTGGTGATCATCTGTAGGCATAGTTCGTAGACAAAGAGAGAGCCAAAGTACAAAACCAACGTATGGCAAGGTGACAGAGAGAGGATGAGGGACGAACGGAAGGCAGGTGATGGACGCGAAGATGAGTTTAAGGGTGAGGGGCACGGCCAAACTTCAACCGGTGCTAGTCTGAGGTATGGAATGGCGGTGCAAACAGAAGAAGGCTACAAGACCATGGGAACGGCCGTGCCGAAAAGGGAACGTTGGCATGCATGTAAAAGCATTGGCCGAGGCACATTGGCATAATGAATTGACATTTCCACACTGCAACGTACTTTCCATATCGGGAAAGCCGCACTTTGTGAGATTCATCCCGGTGCACGTAACCCTCGCAGACCGTAACGCACGGTGGCGGTAACACACAGTGGCGGTAACACACGGTGGCGGTAACGCTCACGGTGGCGGTAACACATAGTGGCGGTAACACACGGTGGCGGTAACGCTCACGGTGGCGGTAACACATGGTGGCGGTAACGCTCACGGACAGTAACACACGGTGGTGGTAACACACGGTGTCTAATTAGCATTCGTATGCATGTATCAACTGACTCAAGCAATGAATGACAAAGCAACCATAGACCGTAGTGCAGAGAGGAGGAGGGAAGAAGACAGAAAGACAAGGACAGAGAATAAGCATCGATGAAACCCGAACGCGACTGATTTTTCAAAAAACGTGAAGCACAGTGCGATGAAGTCGCAGGCGTATGACCCGACCGGTTTCGCATGGCCGCCAAACCACGACTCATCAGGGGTCTTGAGAAGCCACTGTAGGACTTCCATCTGACTACTTATATCCTACTCTAAAAAAGTTCCAGAGGCTTCCCAAGGTATTGAGAAGTCACGGTACCTAGTCTTCGAAAAAACTACGTAAGTTCCTACGCAGTCCAAGTATAAGCCTGACAATACAACGGTCCGAGTTCAAATCGCATCCAGTACCAAAAAGCATCTCAACCATTCACACCAATCCGTCATCCCTCAAYTCCACAACATYCGACTAACCTACGAAAGGAAAGAAGCAAAAACAGGGAGGGTAACAACCGGTGTCACACATAGCCCGCTACATCCAACAGATCTACAGAATTCCACAGCTCATAAGTGTCCACCGGTCTCACTCATACTCTTCAACAAGCTTACCCCAGGGGCCAACCTTACCCCCCTGCGTAGTACTTATTCTGCCAACGGGGCCAACCTTACCCCCTGCATAGAATATTCAAAAAACTTAAGGTCTTCACTCCAAGATCCAACAAAAGAGGGTGCACCCCGCAGCATCGTCCAAAATACCACACATCTAAGTAATCGAACCTCTAAACCGAGGCATCCAAAAACCTGTAACCCCGCTTCTCACCCCTCCATGTAGTCAAAAATGATAGCCACGCACTCCACAGTCCACCAAATTTCTTGGAAAAATAGAACAAAGCATTCAATTTGTCAAAAAACTGATCGGGATAATTCCTCTTCCATAATTCGCACTTCAAGGCGAGAAGAAAGGGTAACTATGTGCCTTGGACAGAGGTATAGGTTTTGGCCCTATGAAAGAACGACCCAATGACTGCCATTTTCTGTTGACGGCTAGAGAAGGACACATAGTCCTGTATGCATTTAAAAATCATTTTTCCAGTCAAGCCAACTTTCTGGTTCTTCAAAACTGGTAAACAAATCACCCCAGAGCTGTCGTCCAAAATCCTCAATTCACAATTTCACACCCAAGATAATCTCATCCGGTATCGGAACTCGTTCTTTCCAGTATCAAGTTCTTATCGTAGCAACGTTTGAAATCCTCAATCATATCCAGGACTTTGATTCGTGAGCCTGGGTCACTCCTCTTGCAGCGTATAAAAATTGAAACATCGTCAACCAGTCGAAAACCAGACAGCAACTTACGATTGTTCCCCAACGACAAAAGATACAAAAACTCATTATATGCGTATAACAGACACGCCAGAGCTGGGCTGGTGGATTTTCCCATAGGGATACCCATCGTTTGCCGCAAAATCCTTCCAGCAGCAGAAACGTAAGTAAATTCTAATTCAAATTAAATTTTGACAAAGTCAAAAATATCATCGAAGCTCGACTTTTTCCAGTCCTGCTCAATCCTGCCCTTGCTCAGCTTTGCACCCTTACCACGCTTCTTAATGGCCACCGCCTCAATTCCCTCCAATCTGCAGTAGTGGATCACCCATTCAAGAGACCGCAGAATGGATAAGTGCGGCAAATTAGAAAATATTTTTTTAATATCAAACGAAGCTCCAACCAAAAAAAAAACATTAGTCAAACCCTGGTTGACTTCCTTGATCGCCTTCAACAAACCGTCAGCGCTCCTCAAGTTCAAGTTCGAGTTAACAGGTAGGTTCCACAGCATAGCATTTACTCCTTTGGAGACAAGTTTTCCTCCTGCAGTAGTACATTCTGGATACGAGGGGCAAATCAGCCTCCAATGTTCCACGTCCTTATGTTTCGACATACAGTAGGCCTTACCTAATTTTCCTGAATTCTTCCAAGCTCCTACACCCCGAAGCTGCCGACTCTCATACTCAACCTTGCTACAACGCAGCACCTCATCCTCATCCTTGCTGCAAAGCTCAAGCGCCGGATTTCCGAAAAAAACTTACTCATCCCCTGTCCGTAAACTGTAGGACAACAAACAAAAATGTCACCATGGTTATGATCGATAGGTGAACATACCAGATCTTTCAATAAGGCAACAAACGGAGCGACATCATCTTCAGATAGAGAATTCCCAATGATCGTCGATGAGAAACAAAAGGAAGTGGAATCAGGAAGGGATGAAAAACATTCCTCAACAGCCGAATTAAAGATCATTGCCCCAGTGACAGGTGGGCTTCTCCTCTCACGACACCCAGGTCATTTCCTCTTCGTACGTTTCCTCTTGGCACGAGTATTGAGTGTCGGACACATTAAGCGAATACATTTTTTTTCCACCTTCAGTAGATCGCCATCGGGACAAGCACACAACGGAATAGCCACATAATTAGCACAACCCCTTCTACGTATCCAAGAGTAAAGTCGCTCATTCCTACGCCCTCCTTCAGCTACCTTAAGCTGTGTTGACCGATACACGTGTTCACCCCACCTAGTGTGTACGTCTCTCCCAGTACTCCCAATGTACAAATGCTTGCACCACGGAGAAAATAAGGCATAGACTATAGGACGCTTCCATTCACGCTCACCACCTCCCTCAAACGTCCGATAACTCCAAACAAAAAGAATAGGCTTAGCTCCCCACGGAATCTGTTCTGAAACGATCAGAAGGCATACTACAAGGCTTAGCAAAAAGTTCATTGTTCCATCACGCAACAACTGGTGAGAAAATGACCTAAGTCTACACAGAAAGCGAACGACATTCCATAGCCGCGTCACGTTCGGGCAAGATACTAAAAGGTAGCCATGCCTTGCCGATCATTGCGTCCTAAGTCATCGCTTTCCTCCTCCGCGACTTCGACCACAGAAACAGATGCACCCTTCCCTTTCTCCTCGTCAAACGCCCTTGACACCCTTTGACAAATGACCTCCTCCTTTGTTTGTTCCAACTTTGTATAAATTACCCTCTCCTTGTTGTAGATTCCCATCACCTGCTCCTTATTCAGCTTCTTCATCTGCTTACGTACCACCCTTGCGAAGGCCTCCCGCTCGTTCACATGCTCGCCCGGAGTCTCAACACATTTCTTCTTTATAGAAGAGCAACCCACTTTCCTGGCCGAGGGACCAACCACTTCATCCAACCGACTTTTCAGGTTCGTTCCTCGTTCTTTCTCCATCACAAGTTTAGCCATTCAATTGCTTCTTTTAGTCTTTCAACCTCCTTCTCGGCCTCAATCCTACCATTGACGTCCTTCAAACGCATTTCCTTCAACAGGACGACCTCCATATTGTGGCGCTCGACAATACCTTTGATCTGCGGATTAACTCGAGGCTCGGTAGGCAGCCCAGAAGATGTGCTACGCTGTCGTACCCTAGCGTGTGAAACATGAGTCTGTCCGACCGCGATGCTTCCCCTCTTGTTGCCGGGTCGAAGAGCTTCTGCCTTCCACACTTCAGCATTCGCTTCTGCTTCCTCTTTCGCCTTGGTCAACGCCGAAAGTCTTTCCTCGAGCAAAGCAAACCATCGATCCGCTGCAGCCCGCAACTCCTCTTGTTCCCGCTTCAATCGTTCGACCACGTCTTCTTCAATCACAGTTTTGGCCATCGAAGAGGATGGTTTTTCCACGTCGTTCTTTTGAGCCATCCGAGCAACTTCTTCACGTAACTTAGCAACTTCATTGTTCACCTTATCCTTCTGGTCAATCTTCTCACATACCATCTCCCATCGACTATTCAGATCTTCTCGCATCTTTAACTGCCACTCCTCCCTATCTTGTTTCTCAAACAAACGACGATCCTCCTCCACCTTTTCTCTCTTTTTTTGTTCTTCTTCTTCTTTTGCTGCTAGTTCCTTTGCTTCAGCTGCATCATGCTTTTCCTTGATTTTGCCGACTATGTCTTCAAGAGTTGCCACTCAATTGCGCAACCACCCTTTATCCGAATATTGACCGCCATACTGTCCGGAGTACGAAGTAGCCGCCGGGGCCCCAATGCCGACCGCCGAATTACCCGAAGGCATCGTCATAAGTGGTTGTGCCGGTACTATAGCGGTGCTAGTGGATGGAATAGCACGCCTATTAGGAAGAGGACAATAACGGGAGATATGACCTGCTTGCCCACAGTTATAGCATGCTCGGTTGTCGATACGTAAATTGCCATTCGTCGCCATTGTAGCTCGAGGCCACTCAACAGTAGTACAATTCCTACGTCGGTTACCTCGTGTGTGAAAGTCTAATTAGCATTTGCATGCATGTATCAACTGACTCAAGCAATGAACGACAGAGCAACCATAGACCGTAGTGCAGAGAGGAGGAGGGAAGAAGAAAGAACGACAAGGACAGAGAATAAGCATCGATGAAACCCGAACGCGACTGATTTTTCAAAAAACGTGAAGCACAGTGCGACGAAGTCGCAGGCGTATGACCCGACCGGTTTCGCGTGGCCCCCAAACCAGGACTCATCAGGGGTCTTGAGAAGTTCCAGAAGCTTCCCAACTTCCCAAGGTATTGAGAAGTCACGGTACCTAGTCTTCGAAAAACTACGCAAGTTCCTACGCAGTCCAAGTATAAGCCTGACAATACAACGGTCCGAGTTCAAATCGCATCCAGTACCAAAAAGCATCTCAACCATTCACACCAATCCGTCATCCCTCAATTCCACAACATTCGACTAACCTACGAAAGGAAAGAAGCAAAAACAGGGAGGGTAACAACCGGTGTCACACATAGCCCGCTACATCCAACAGATCTACAGAATTCCACAGCTCATAAGTGTCCACCGGTCTCACTCATAGTCTTCAACAAGCTTACCCCAGGGCCCAACCTTACCCCCCTACGTAGTACTCATTCTGCCAACGGGGCCAACCTTACCCCCTGCATCGAATATTCAAAAAACATTTTTTTTTTTTTTTGAATATTCAAAAAAGTCAAGGTCTTCACTCAGGAGAATATTCAAAACAACGGTGGCCTGACTTTTTTTTTTTTTTTTTTTTTTTTTTTTGAATATAAAGCCCCCAACGGTGTTAGTGGTGCTGATACGAGCAGACACCACTGCCACCCAGGAGACCGCTCCATCTATTGGTGGGGAGCATCACTTGCTGGAAAGCGGGTCCAGCGTCCCATTTACATCAGATCAATCACGGAGCGTATTCCTGCCAGCATTGATTGCCCTGGGGTACAGGGGATTAACTGAGCTGGATGTTTATTTGGGGGGGAGGGAGAGGCCTCTTCACCTTCAAAACGGCGCCGAATACTATCATTCTCATGCTGGTTCATCCCTCCAAACGAATACTCCCATATGACTTAAAAATTAATAAGAATACCTTGCACTTGGACGCTCCCCAAAACTTGATGTTTTTCTCATGGAGATGTGGATGACCAAACGTCGACGCGATATCACTTTCCCCCCCAAAAAGAAACCACGAAACCACGTCGCTGCTACAGTGCCTCGCATTATCAAATTCCGTTGTGGACGTTTTTTCTCGAACTGGCATCGGCCGAAACGAAAACAAAAAGACTGCTATCGCAAGAATACATATAAGCCAAAGATTGAGGAGACGCATCAATGCCCACGGGGTGTCACAGGCCACCACACTTAATCCAAAACACGTCACGTCCGAATCCAAACCTGTGCTAGTCGGCGGAGGCCCCAGGGCCCTGCCGCTGCGAGTCGGCCGAGGTCCCAGGCCCCTGAAGAGCACGAATGGCCATAGCTCAGGGCATACTCACACCGGGACCTAATGCTGCAAATATCTGGGACGTTTGGTACCATGTATTTGCTCCTTTGGGTACCCTTGTGGTCACACAGGCGTTCTGTGTCCACAAAGGACACAGTCGCGGCCCTGACATTTGTGTTTTTTTCTTTTCCAAAGCTGAAATAAACACCCACAGCCGTTTTCCTTTTTTTTCATCCACGAATTTCTTGAATTACCTCACGGAAAAAAAAGTCTCGAAAAGGTAATTTTGCGACCACCTCAGGGCCGAGGTCCCACCAGCAAAAAGGATAGGATCGAGCTCCTGAATCTGGAAGTGTTTTAAACACAGATGCAGAAAAGCAGTTCAATCTCGATTTCCTGCACATCTCCATAAACTCGTCCAGATTCAGACATTCTATCCCATCCCCTTTGTTAGTGGGACCACGCCCCAGGAGGTGGTCCCAAATTCCTTCCTCCCGCGGCCCTGCATGCCTCTGACATCTGGCTGGGGCAGGAAAAGGTTCAATTGGGTACACCCATGAACTGCTGAAATACAGACCTGTGTTCCAATCCAGATGATGGAATTTGACAAGTAAAACCAACTACTAATGAATTGCTTGGGGCCGGTCAGCTCAATGATAATATCTCAAGGCCGTCGTCCTCTAAAAAAAAAAANAAAAAAAAAAAAAAAAAAAAAAAAAAAAAAGGTTCAATTGGGTAGCGGGCTAACGGACGTGACCCTGAAAGTGGCACAATTTTTTTTTTTTTAAGTAATCTATATTCTTCTCTCAATCTATTTCATCTTTCTTTGGCAGTAAGCATCTATCTCATCCTCTCACTAGTCTATTTGTAGTACGGGGGAACACCAACCAACCCGGATCTCTCCCCAGCCCACGGGGTAGGTTCGCACCACAGCTCTGGTGCGAGAGCAAGGCTGTACCAGTCCCTCATCACGGTGACGAGGGGTGGGCAGGCATTGCCGATGGGGGAAACCGGCGGTGCTAATGGCCAGTCACTGCACCTCCCCCTACCCCCCCCCAACCCCACATGGCGGTGTCTAAGGTCCTGCCAATGCTGGCTTGGGGGGCCAACGGGTTATCTCGAGCTGGTAGAACACCAAGCTTGCCCAGGCACGTACGTGAGGCCAATGGGGATTGAACCCACGCCCTCCTGAATGCAACTTCTGTGCCTTACCAACTGAGCTAGGCCCGCAGGCCAATTCGGGATTTCAGGTCCCGTGTGAGTATGCCCTCAGTCGGTACACCCCCCCTGGACTGTTGAAATACAGATTCTTTTTCTTTTAGGTATTTGGGGAATCATTTTAAATAGAAAGAATATCCTTATTATGTTAATATCAATTGAGTTAATATTACGTGCTGTCAATTTGAACTTTGAACTTTTTTTTTTTTTTTTTACCCAAGTTCGAACCCAGATAGTGGGCATCGCCACACCACTCTCGAAATGTGCAAAATGAGAATGAACTTCCGCCTAGAACATGGCCAGATGCACCCGCCACGTTTTTGTCTTTTTCACTTTTCCACAGTGGTGTGGCGAGGCCCAGTATCAGATAACCAGGACTAAAATCATTCGGAATGACCTGAGGCCGGTCAGTTCAATGATGATGGGCCTCGCTCCACTACTCTCGAAATGTGCCAAATCAGAGTGAATCTTCCGTTAGAACATGGAAGTATGCACCGCCATGATTTTTGTCTTTTGTGCATGTCGAGATTAGTGGAGCGAGGCCCGATATCTCGAGGCCGTCGCCACTCGAAAAGAAAAAAGAGCCCTTTGAAGGAACAAAAAAGACCCCCAAAAAATTCAAAAGATCCGTTTTCATAGTGTTTGTGGATAGATATGACGTCGATACTTTTGTGATCTCTGGTAGCGACGCGCATGCCGCGTGCATGCCGGGTTTCGGGCGCGCTTCGCATACGACAAAAAACCTTCCCGCCAGTCCGATGTCATCGGCGGGCTGGGATGATGTAAGGAGAAAGAAGAGGATCACAACAGCTAGAAACGTCGGACGACCGGTAGCGGCAGCTGGTGATCGAAGACGCCGGGAGTTAGTCTAAGAGCAGGAGGGAGACGCCATAGCCAGCAACCATTCTCCATAGCCCAACCTCAGACGTGGCCATAGCCCAACCTCGGCCGACCAAGCCAAAGGTGGTGAGGAAAGAGAAGACGATCGCCACGGGCTGGAAACCTCGGATGACCAGTAGCAGCAGCCGGTGAGCAGAGCAGGAGAGAGAAGACATAGCCATCAGCAGCAGTCGCCATAGCCCAGGCTCAGAAGCCCCCATAGCCGAACCTCGGCCGACCAGGGCTAAGGTGCAAGCCCGACGGAGCCAGAAAAAAAGGTAACTAGCAAATAGCAAATATCAAATAGCAAGAAGTGAAGATAACGCAGCAAACGCCAGTCCACCAACAAGCTTCCGCCATAGCCACACGGAAGAGAGAAGAAACGACGAGCGAATTGTCCACAGCAGCAACAGCAACAGGATCCGGAAAAAAGAGAGAGAGAGAGAGAGAGAGAGAGAGAGAGAGAGAGAGAGAGAGAGAGAGAGAGAGAGAGAGAGAGGACGGTAAGGTGAGGAGCAGCCCCCGCCATGTCCACCTCCGTCCAGTTGTCGCCGCTAGATAGGTTCTCGTGCGCAAGTGCGTTGACGTCAACATGCATGAATCGCACGAGCAGTCCAGGAGCGGGAGGGGCTGCGTCTGAGCTGCCGGCGGTTGGAGGAGGAAGCTCGAGAGTGGTGGCCACGGCGATGGCCACGTGCTCACCCCCCTCTCTTCTTCCTCCATCTCCTGCTGCATGCAGGCGGGTCTTCGTCAGACCATTGACCTGCGAGCTCAGCAGGTCGGGGGTTCGAGTCCCGCTCGGAACAACTCGTGCTCGGGCGAGCTTGGAGTCCACGTCGTCATCAAGTGACACGCAGCAGGAAACGATTCGGAAGAGAGGCGAGGGCCATGGCGGTGGCTATGGCGACGAGCTCTGTGGCTATGGCGGAAGCGTTCGTGATCAGCTTGCAGAGACGACGGAGAACAGACCAGCGGCGGCTTCGTGTCACGATTCCACGACGAGCGGACGGGTGGAAGACGACGGCACCTGGGAAGCTAAGTTGTCCACCATAGCCAGAGGCTTGGCAAAGAGTATGGTGGTCGTGCTCGCTGCAGCCGCGCTGCTGGCTTCTTCTCCAAATGGAGCTATGGCGGCCAAAAGTGGAGGGAGGGTCGGCGGGAGCGCTTTCCGCTCAGCCCCGAGAACGGGCCCTTCTAGCGGACCCCGAATCAACTCCAGGTGCGGGGGTGGCTCTTGCGCTTCCTTTTCTTCTCCTTTTTCATTTCATTTCGCTCCCTTTTACGATTCTTCCCCTTAAAGTTTGCTCTCTCTCTTACCAACCCCATTAGCCTTATCTTTCCCCCCC